TCAAACCCTCGGTTACATCCATAACTCTTTTCCATAAGAATCGCCAGGCAACTCTCACGGCGCTAACCCCAATCCTACTCGCCCTAACCCGGATCGAGCCAGAGAAGTATTAGCACTCCAGACCCCGTGTAACATATTGCTATAAAATCTTTTAGTAGAGCGCTAATATAATTATTTATTTGATATTTATGCATGAAGGTTTACTAAGTAAATTTGTATATATTATAGCTGTTACGCTAGTAGATAGTTAGTCACTACCTAGAGGTAGGGTAGAGGTAGAGTTTAGGTCTTATATAGGTGTGACCCTACTACTGCCTCTACTATTACCTAGGTCTATGCACCCTAATCACTACATCTGTACTGTTCTTTCTTGGAGTAGTTGTCTTCTTATCCTCCTCTTCTGGTGTGGCCTCTTCCTCTTTCTTGATCTTGAGGGCCTCCCCCTCCTCTCTAGGACACTCCTTCTTTTTTTCTAGCATTGTAAGATTCTCTTATCAAGGTTGGGTTCTTTGTGTTAAGGATGTCAAAGAACTCTTCGTTGACTTTCTAGTTACTCTCTTATTTCTAAGTCCAGGTGGATAAGTCTAAGGTACGGTGGTAAATGGGTATAGGTAGGTGTTAGGTTGGGTTGCCAAGAGTTAGGTAGGGTTAACCATTATTAAGAAAATATATTTGGTGGAGCGGATCCAGCGCCTAGATAACATGCTTACTGGAATTCGATAGTACAACAGTCAATCGGAGATTTACCAGGATGTTAGCACACTTTTTATATCTAATACGGCACTAGGCCTTACCTATCTGCATGCCTTACAGAAGGCTTTAGATAGGATGTAAAATTTAAATATATATACACGGACAAATTGTGGTGTAGCATCACGTGACTAGCTCATAGTATATATCACGATCTTCTTTCGTACGTAGATAGGCACCCTTCTCCAATTATTCCTTTACAACGATTAGCTATCAGCTTATTCTATCCACTCGATTGCGGGTCGCCCCTCTGATCTTTTGAGCTCGATCACGTATCGTGCCACAATATATATATATACCCACATATACATATATACACATATATATATACCCACATATATATATATACACATATATATATACACACATACATATATATATACACATATATATATACACACATACATATATATATACACATATATATATACACACATACATATATATATACATATATACACTAGGATGTCAGCTACGATACAGCATTAAGCGTCTACACAACGCACTAAGAGCACGCTGCCGCGACCCAGGAAGAGATACATAACTCAGCCAAGGATTTAGGCGTAGAATTTACACCTATAGAGTTTCCTAGAAGTGTCCAGATTAACAACAAGTTTCATTTCCTACTGACCAAAATCACCAAACAGCAAGGATTCCTGACCAACATGAAACACATTCGCAAAAAGCACATCGAGAAAACCAGGACCAAGATCGAGAACAAGCCGGTCAACCCAGAACTAATCGCAAAACATCCCAGCGCGACCAACACTCATTCCAGCACGACGAAAGATAACAGCACTTCAGTTAGCCGGGCACGACCAGTGATCCTCCGGTCCGACGACCCAAAGAAAGTAAAGAAACTACAGAACTCTATGGAGAGGGGAGATGTATGGTATATCCTGGACCATCACAGAGCGAGAAAGAGGAGTAAGGGGTCGGCAGATTTCCAGGGTATTCACCCACTAATTATTCCCAAAGCCGTACCAAGCACGCAGATACCCGAGAATCAAAAGGCTTGGAGATGCAATACGAACCTCCTCATTGAAGCGGGTGCCAGTTTCGATTCATACCTCCACCACTCATTCAAAACATGCCCCTTATGCGAGACATCCCAGAATGCAAAAGGCAAAGAAGGCAAAGGCAAAGAAGGGGGTACTACCATGAACTTCGCATTCGAGTTAAAGATTATTGTCTTACAACTTAACGAGAATGTTATCCGAACTAGGACGATTCTTAAGTATAAGGGTAAACCTAAAATCATTAAAGGAAAACTAGATCCTTCTAGGAACAAGATCATCCTGCGAACAGGAGATGTAATCCGAGATAATTTGCTCTAGATTAAGAAGTCGCAAGTCTTGGGCAAATATCCCACAGATATGGACCGAGGGGCTAAGAAAGCAATTTCTGAGACCGCATACTTCCTAGAGAAGCGCAAAAACAATACTCTAGCCTTAGACTAGTAAAAGAAGAAAGTAAAGGCAGAGGAAGAGGCGGAGCCCGTCAACCCGGGAAACGAGATGGCAAAAGAGGAGGAGAAGATAGAGGGAGGAAAGGAGGAAGAGAAGGACCAGAAGGAGCAGGACGAGGAGGATGAGTGAACCGACTTCACATGGATTCCGGAATGATAATTCTTTCAGATAGTTTACACGGATTCCAGAATGGTTATCACCCCGCGTCCATAACCGCAACACGACCCACTATACACACAAAAATCTAATCTTCTTCGCTATCTTCTGCCCTTTGTTGTTCAGCCAATTTCTGGGCCTGTTCCCACTGCATGGCAAACTCTCTCAGTTGGCCTTCGCCTCCCCTGCTCGCGTCCACTACATCTTTGGGCAACTTGTGAGCGCTATACTGCGGAGTTGTGAAACCATACGCCTCTGGGTCGTCTCTCCGTACCAGTCGGAACTCTGGCTGCCAAACTTCCTCAATGTCATTGTCGTCTGAGAGGTCGTCCTCCTCCAACACGTCATTGGGCACTGGAACAGACTCGCTCTTGGCTTCTGGCTGAGCTATCTTCAGACGCACAGTCGTCTCTTCGGCTAGTGCTGCCTCTGGTACGTCCATGGTGAGCAATTCCATCCACGAAAAGACCAATGGGTCTGTTCGTACAGCCCAGGGATTGAAATCAACAACCCAGACCTTATCATGGGGCGGCGGCACGTATACATCAAAAGTGAAGTTTGGGTCTGGGAATGTATCGCGCAGTTTAGCGTCGAAGAAGTCTTGGATCAGGTCTCGTAGCTTATCCTGCATATTGAACAGAAAGTCAAAGTGGTTCAAGTCTCGCTGGCATAGGGCAATCAGCCGTCTGTTGCGCACAAAGCATCGGAACTCGACGCTGGGGTTAAGCGTGATCCACTTTCGCAGTACGAGATGGTATGGAATTGCCGGGTCTGGCGTTATGGACTGATCGGCTGTGTCGTCAAAGGCATGTGCAAGATCGTGGGTGACAAAGTCGCTACTTTTGAGGAGTAGGTAGATGTCGTTTGGCGTACGGCATTCCATGCTGTTGGTTGCTGCTATCCATGTCGCATCCTTTGGCGCACTCCAGTTGAGCTTGGGAGCGACTTTGCCGCCCAGCTCCTCAATGGTGCGCTCGATTGCCTCGTGGGTGTCGCGCCACTCTGCGCTGGGATCTATACTCTCCTCAGCATCGTCGTCGTTGTTGTCCGCGCCCGAGAAGATGCCACTGTCGTTGTCTGACCATGAGGGGTCGTCGCTCTCTTCGGGAGGCAGGACGATGCCGTCTGACCGAAGGTATTCGAGAAAGGCGGATGGAAGAGGGATGAGGCGCGCTTTGGGCGTTACGGCACGATATCTATTGAAATTAGAATACAGAACACGCTAAATCGTGGGATATGACTAACTTTGGGTGCCAACTGTGGTAGGAGCAGTTCAAGATGTGCTGTTTGGTGACTGGGGGGAAGGGCAACTCGGTATATCCCATTTCCACGGGTCCAGCGGAGACATTTTCACTCGTATTATTTTTTGCACTCATGGCGAATCAAGTTTGGGGTGGAATAGTGTCCAGAATAATGGCAAACAGGTGCCAGGCAGAGTAATGACTCCATTGCTGGGTGAGTCTTCATAGTCAAGGGAAAGTTTTGGTGGGGCAACTGCCATTCCGTCACTAGGCAAGCTCGGGCCTTTCCTCACCTCCGAGCTCGCCGCAAACCAGTAGTGATCCTTGGCCATCGTTCTGACCGACACGATACCTTCACCTTGCACATCATCAAATTTCAGACCATGGCCGACAATGTAGGCCTTACCACCCCAAGAGGTAGCGGTACCTCGGGTTACGTGCAGAAGAACCGATCGCTCCTCAGACCACGCGACAAGATCCAGCCCTACCCAAAAGACTGGGACCAAGCCAAACACCGCCCAAGGCAGCCAGACGCCGAGATCCTCGAGCACGAAGCGAAGCGTGAAATTGAAGTCAAGGTTCTCGAGCTGCGCGACAAGCTCGAAGATGAGGGTGTTGACGAAGACGAAATCGACGACCAGTGCGAAGCGTTGCGTCGCAAACTAGACCAGGAGCGCAAGGACGGCAGAGACTTGGGACCGAATGCAAAGCGACTCAAATCGCATCAGGTCCACGATCTGGCCAAGGCGAAGATGGAAGAGAGCGAGAGGCTGCGCAAGGCGCTGGGCATCAGCGAAGACTACGAAGAGGGCAGCCACTGGAGGAAGCAGGAGGAAAGAATGCGCGAGAGCCTTGCCAAGAGAGAAGCTGAAGACGAGGAGAAACTTGAAAAGGCCAAGGAGGCCAGGCGATACAAGGAAGACGATTCGGAATAATTCCCTACTTTGCACTCACTCTGCGCTCAAGAGCGTGCCGATACCCTGCGATAGCCACGACGCGTTACCTGTCCGCATCCATATACCACTACATACTTTTATACGAAGCCCTGCCGAATCCTTGAGGATGCAGTATTCAACGTTTATGTAAAGGCTCTAGGCACTAGCAGGCCGGCCTATCAACTAGTTCACGGTCCGGTCATTCGACTGGCTGAAGATAGGAGGCTGCCAGAAGGATCACAGCATCTCTACTTTATTCGCTTATCATCTGCGTAGTCTGAATGCTGAGCATCTCTGCAGCTCCATCTGCTACGTGCGGTGTCTCATGCAGCCACAATCTCATCCGTCACACTCTGAATCAGGAAAAGCATGTCGTCTTACAATCTACTCGACTGTCAAGGGTCAAAGGGATCCACAAGCCTAATGCAGGAACATTCGAGACCACGCCAATTCACTAAGGCTGTTCCAACCCTGCCTGGCACTGCCACAATGTCACGCAAAGCCCAAGGATTAATTGAAAGGGCTGACTTGGCGAGTTCCAAGGTCTGGCCCAAGCTACTAGTTGTTAGTATTCCATCTTTTTGATAGAAGAGGGCAAAAATTATGTTAATCTTGACCCGGGCAATTGAACGCCTCAATTCACCAACACTTTCCACCTGCAATTTTTTTTGTCAATCAAGAATTGGCAATATAGCCCAGATTGTTGTATCCAGCCCCTTGGTATGACAAGAAGTCATGAAGGAGTTTTTGCTCGCGTGCATTACGACTGTCGCGACCATTCTTACGGCTGAGGCGAATGCCCTGGTCTGCCCAGACATGGTATGTCAGCCACGTGGGGGGTCTGACTGGTCAGAATCCAACGAGAATGCCGAGCCTCATTCGGACTAGGGCGGTGCCATGGTACCACTTGGCCTTGAAGAGCAGCGCTCCGCCGTCTCCCAAGAGCGTGAATTCGTGGGCTCTTGAGATGCCTCCTCGTCACAGATTCGGCTGTTGTGATCCGTCACTACTCACGCATGCCTGTAGCGAACCGGTAACTCCACATGCAGGCTTCTCTTGATTTCATTGGCTAGTTTTGTCAACACCAGCGTTCCGGCATTCTGGACGTATAAACAAGGTCTCTCCGCATTTGCGGATTCGCTTTTGCTCTCTGTAGCACTGCTGCCGCACGCTTGTGTGCTTTGATCGTCGACATGGTCCGACCCATTGCTGTCGTCCGAGAAACATGGAACATTTACACGCCTCTAGAGCGCCGCAACATTGCCATTTACATTGCCGGCATTATGATGTACAAGTTCGGGCTCGAGGCGTTCAACGGATCAGTCATCGCACTCGCCACGAATCGATACGACGAACTGGAGAAGACGACGCACGTTTCCATCACATTTCAGCGCGTCGGTGTGTTGACAGGCCTGAACCAGGCATTTCAGTGCATAGGGTCCATCCTGATTGCACCTCTGATTAAGCGGTATCCGACCAAGAACGTGCTAGCTTGCGCAGTGCTCGTGTTTGGGTTCATGAGCAGTCTGTTGCTGATACTCGATGCCGCAACTGGTGGTAGATTTATGCCGCGCGGATGGCCCAAAGATGACTTTAGCTACTACGGCGACTACGACACGGACGCGATGATACCCATCTGTAAGCATGACCCTATCCGAAGTGCTGCGCAACATGTGCTGATGAGTATTAGATTGCGTCTGTGGCATAGTCTACGGGATGGTTGAACTGATCCGACGCGTCATACCCCGAGATCTCGTGGGTGGCAACATTCAGAAGCTCCGCCGGATGGACTCGTTGGTGCACATTTTCTACGAGACGAGTGGGACAGCAGGTGCTTTTTGTACGGCACTGGCCCTCATTCCACGCCTCGGCAACAACTTCAGCTTCGTCATCACACCCATCTTCTTCGCTGCCGCATCGATTCTCTGGTACTTTATCCACGAGGAAAGCATCCCAAGGGAAAGCCGAGCGTCGGTGACCGAGGGCGAGCCCAACTATGTCAAGGCTGTCATTAGTGGCTTCTACCTCTTTTTCGAGTCGGTGGGAACGGGTGCCAAACTCATCTTCACACATCGCAAGTTTGTCTGGCTGCTGCCCGGATATGCAATTGCACTTTACGCCCATCGATACCTAGAGAATGCTATTGCGCCTGCAGTTGCGCGGCGGTACTTTGGAAACTCGGCCTGGTCACAAATCATGGTGGGAGGGTCGAACTTTGGTGAACTATTGGGGGCCCTGTTTGTCTTCATGTTCACAAACTTGGTGCAGACGCCGATACCATGGCTGCGACTGGACGCACTTGGTCTGCTGATTGTGTGGTATCTGCCCTACTGGCGTCCTCCACGCAACGACGTGGCACAGGCGTGGATCGTGGCAGCGACCTTTTTGCCCATCAGTTTTGGATGGGCTGCAGGTGATGTGTCTCTGGCGGCATATATCCAGGCGTCGCTTGCTCGAATCGAGTCCAAGTCGCAGAATGTCTCGGCACTGGGGGCCGTCATGGCATTTCTCTACAGCACGTACATTGTCATGTACGCCATTGCATCTGCGTGCTTGGGAACATACATCGATCGCATCTCGGACCGAGACAACGACGAGATTCACGGGGCCATCTTGAACGTGGCGGGCGTGCAGTTCACCATCATATCGGTGTTGGTTATGGTGAGCACCTTTATTCCCAAGGGAGCGTTCTCTCTGAACCCCAAGATGCTCAGCGAGGAGGTACTGGACATGGACATAGAGGACGAGGACGACGAGGACGACGGCGAGGAGGACCTGGAATATATCCCTGGAGCTCGGGGCAACAGGAAGGAGAGGCACGACAGCCACGAATTGGTTAGCAGGATGAACAGCTCGAACTAGACGTGGGATGGCATCATTTGGCGTATTTTGCAGCGAATATTGAAACCGAATTATTCTGTGGCGACTTGAGCGACAGCAGGATATAAAAAGCAGTGGGCTGGTTTGATTGACAGGACGGTAGATAAGAGTCTCCACTCGCAAGTCAGCATGGGGGGAGCACACGTGCGATGGTGCTGAGCGCCGATTGATGGCTTGGTGATATGGGGGCTCGGGGTGGAGCCAGAGGGTAGCCCCGAATGAAGAAGGTAACCCCGCAAAGTCCCAGCACGGAAGCATGCGGCTAGCCCCATGGCGGCGGAGGGTGAATTGGAAGGGCAGCAGAGAAGGCAGATGTCACTCCTTGGGCCATAGTCGTGGCAGCTAAGCACTCGGCGCGCTGGGCTTGCAGCAGGGGGCCTCTCCGCCATGTGTCGCTGGCTTGGCGGCCATGTGCCCTCGCGGCGGCGTGTGGTTGGCTGGCCCGCATGTGCCTCTCTGCTAATCCGCCAAGCCAAAGCTTCACTCGCTGCCATGCTCACTGCATACGCCCGTTGCTTTTTAACGGAGGGCACGCGCAAGCATGGGTGCGGAACTCGTTCCAGATCCCGCCTTCAACTACGCATACGCCTCCTCGCCCCATGGATGAGGCCAAAGCCGGTCCGCTTCGCACGCATAATCTCACTCTTACCCGCTCAACCACTGCCACACATGCCCAACTCCAACTAATCACACCCTCTCTCTCCCTCTCCCCCAGTCCCGCCGCCTCTCCCCGTGTTTTCTGTTCTGCCCTTTGGCATTTGCTCTGCTTGCTAGCGACACCCCTTCGCCGCTGCATCACACTTCCCCCTAGTGATGTCCTGCTAGCCTCAGGTCCAGCCAAATCTGACACGTCGGGCCCGTGTGCGTGACCGGACCCCATACGGCGGAATTTGACATCATATCAACTTTATTGCCAACAAAGAATATTTGTAACAAATCAACCAAACCCCGCCAAGTTTCTCCTCTCAATTCCTGCTTCTTTCGTCCCCCAGAATCGGAATCCAAATCATGCAGCCCTACCCACATCCAAACGGCCCGCTGGTCGCCGACCGGAACGAAAGCAGTCATCACCGCGGCCCACTGAGCAGGACATGGCCACAGATTTTCAAGAAGAGGAGGAGATACAGTCCAGTTCGAGAGAGTGCCCAACAGCAACAGCAGCAGCAACAGCAGCAGCAACAGCAGCAGCAACATGTCCAACCCAGTAATATCCAACCACAGGCACAACCACAACCAATCCAGCAACAGATCCAACCACAAGTTCAAATACCCATACACCCCGTACGGCCCACCAAAACCCCCTCAATAGCCTCTCAATCCATCACCTCCCCTACTGTCTCCTCAATGCGCTCCCCCTCCATAGCAGCAGACACCGCAAGTACCATATCCTCAATATCCCACGCCTCCTCCATCCCACCTCCCAACAAAGTTCCCATAGCACGTCGAGGCAGCAGTATATCTTCTGCCGATCGAAATGGTGTGTTCCCCGGAAATCCCCCCTTGCCCCAAAACTATGAACGAATACTAATGTATGCGGCTAAGGCGCCGGCGGCGTAATAACCCCCCAGGCCGACCTCCTCGCCTCAAAATCAAACTACGAACTCATTTCCTCAGGCCAACACCTCGAAATGGGGCTCCATTTCAGCACCGCAATGGCCTCAGGCGTCATGATGAAGCGCGCCACGCACCGCGCCGCCGAGCAAGCCCGGCGCGACCGCATGAAGAACGCCATGGTCGATCTCGCCGAGTTTTTGCTAGACGGCGAAGTCACGTTTGGGAGTGGGACGACGTGCTTTGTTGTTATGCGGGGGAGGGAGGAGGATTCGAATAGTATTGGGGTTGGTGGGGGTGGAGGAAGTAGTATAGCGGAGGATAGGGAGGAGGGGGATGATAAGAGTAGGCGGTCAAGTGTTGCAGCCGGGGAGAAGAAGACGGTGAATAAAGCGAGGTTGATTGAGATGGCGCTGGAAAAGATGAGGGCGCAAGAGAGGGAGATTGAGATGTTGAGGGCGGAGGTGGAAAGGTTGAAGGTGGACCAGCGGCAGCAGCAGGAGGTGGAAGACGATGGGGTGCAGAGTATGGATACTTCGTAACCCTTTCACACACCCACACACACACCCGTGGCTTTTTTAGCAGCGAAGAGAAAGGCACGGAATCAGGCGGTATCTTCACCATTTTTTCACGTTTGGAGCATTCTAGATAAAGGCAGGGCGCGGTTTACACCTTCTTCTTCTCCTGTTCGCTCAAAAAAGTAAACGTACATCTCACTCACCTTTTACCGCACACACATTTTGTATTACTAAGGTAACTAAGGGAAATATATATATATATATATACATATTCAACGCGCAGAGTTCCTATCCTTCTCCTCGCATCTCTCACTATCAAATTATAAAGTCTCAAACATACAATAGACACACACACACACATATATATATATATATAAATTTATGTGAATAGAATACCAAGGCATTACCCCTCCCCTCCCCCACCTACTCCCACTATAATCCCCCCCTCCCCCCGGCCCCCGTATTCCCCGTCCCAGTAGCGTACATTTTATTCGGCAAACCTAAGTGGGGCTAGTGGTTCTTGCGGCACGGGGGGAAGGGGGAGGAGGAGGAACGCAAACGCAAACGCAAACGCACGAACGAACCCACCCGTCTAAGATCAATCGGTTCTCGGGCCTAGATCTACGCGCGCGCGTGTGTGTGTGTGTGTGTGTGTGTGTGTGCAACAGTGCACGCTTTAGATCCCGCGGTTTTTCTGGGGGCGGGTTGGCCGCTAAGTGCAGGATTTTAGGGTCTTGGTTTGGGTTTAGTTGGGTTGGGGATTGGATTGGCGTGGCGTGGGGAAGGGGAAGGGGAAGGAAAGGAAAGTGCCGCGGGATGAAGGGGAAAGAGGGGGAAGGGGAAGCGAAGAGGGTTTGTGTGTGTGCGCGTTTGTGGATGGGATAGGAGGGGGTGAAAGGTTTCTGAGTGGTATTTTGTGTAGTTTGTATTTTGGTTTTGGTTGGGGTTTTGATGGGAGGGAGGGGCGGGGGATGTTCCGGTGGAAAGTAGAGGTGAGGCTGAGTAGGGAGATGGTCAGATTTTGGTTGTTTGGACGATTGGGTTGAATGAACTTTTAGTGGGGATCTATGTGCTTGAACTGCGCAGTATGTGCAAAACTTTGGATTTGAATCATCTACTGTCATCTTATTTTTTCGGTGTCCTGAACATGTACACTCTTTCCATCTGTAGTAGCATCGGTTATCACGGCATGCTCACTGCCCCCACCCCGTCCGCCTTCCGGCTCATCATCCCGCTCGCTAGTCTGCTTTCCCCGTCTAGTATCGCCTGTGTGACCCTGCGTTCCGATCCTTAGAAAGGGAAAGAGCAGCATGCCAGGAAATGCGGCTGCAGCGGCGAACCATAGGGTAAAAGAGTAGGGCTCGGCAGCGTTGCCGGCGTAGTAACCCGATTTTGCTGGACTTTTCTGTACACTATCAAAGATTGCCGTCGCGATCCCAAAAGCAATAGCGTTGCATAGACGGGATATCGTCTGGAAGAGCGAACCTGCAATGGATTGCTTGTCGAGTGGCATCGAAGACAAAACATACATCTGCGGATGGTTAGGACAGAACTGTGGGGCAAGTGCAAAAGTCTGGCGATAAAACTCACATTTGCCACAATGAACTCGAAGTCGATACCAACAACACAGAGGCAGAGTGCTGGGAAAGCAAATGCCCAGTACGAATCTCCGTCTCTCTGGAGTGCTGCCAGTGTAAAAGAAAGGGTGAGAGCAGTTGATCCAATACCAACAAGGAGTTTGTTAGATACTTTGTGCTGGACCAAGGCAGCCACTGCGTTTGCGGTCAGACCCACAATGGCCATGGGAAGCATGTGAACGCCAGTCATAAGGGCACTGTATCCCTGCACCCGCTGGAAATAGAGTGCCATCCAGAAGATCAAGACTGGGAATCCAAGAGTGGCGAGAGCGAGAATTCCCATTAGCTGTCGCATGTCGTTAGTATCAAGATCATGACAGGCTGTAGCAGGTAATGTTGTGAAGCTTCCCAATTGGATTTCGACACAGAAATTCCACAACATGGTACGACTTACTAAGGAAAAGTCTCGATCGCGCCATATCTTCATATCAATCATCGCATATGGGTACTTGAACTCCCATACGACGAATGCAACCATCAGAATGGCTCCTAGTATCAACAAAACAAGGACATAGGGCGTCTTCCAACCCTGTGGCGCATTTCCGGCAAGACTATGAAGAATGTCAGCTTGCAGTCTCCCTAACTTCGAGATGTAACCATACCTTAATGCAGCACAGAACATGCCAATGCCAAAAATCGTCAGCGCCGTTCCCGGAAGATCTAGCTTTCTCATAGTCTCTGTGTTGAATGTCTGTTTTGATGTCGTATCATCGGGCACCGTAAACGCGGCAATGATACTGGTACAAAAATACACGATAGCCAATAGGAAGAAACCAGCTCTCCAATTGAACACCTTCGTGAAGACACCAGCGAGGATCGTCCCGAAAATGAAGCCCATGGGATTGCCTGCACCAAAGCAGCCAAAAGCTCTGTTCTTCCTTTGGCTAGGCCTGGCATAGATGACACCCAGCATTCCCTGAGCAGGAGGCACAGCTGCGGCAGAGAAGATGCCTAGGACACCACAGAGTACGTCAAGTGTCATGCCGTTTTGAGAGAAGCCGGCTCCCAAGCAGAAAACGGAAAAGAAGAACATGGACGCGATAAACATGGATTTGCGTCCAAAGAGATCAGCGATGCTGCCGAAGAAAAGCAGTAGCGAACCAGCCGTGAGTCTGTATGTCTTGTTAGTCATGCAATCTTGCACTTGATATCGGGTCATTCTTACGATGTGGCAGCATTCATCCAGGAAAGCTCCGCATTGGTCATGTCCAGATCTCGCGCCGCGAACGAACTCATAACGGTGACCGTACCCTGCAAGAAACTCGTCATGGCAACAGCCATGGTCACCGATGCAATAAACAGACATTCTTGTAACAGCGATTTGAAGCACTCTGGTCGGGCATTGGGATCCTTTTCGCTGATTGGCTGAGAGTGGGCAGTGCCGAGTTCGGCATCAATATCTTTACCCATGTTGCAGGCGTGGCGTGTAATGTAAGGTTTGAAGAGACGAGAACAGAAACCGCGCAGCAGGAGACAGAGTATTAGAACCTGCCGAGATACATGACCGGAGAATGCAAACTAGAGGTCATGTCGTAGATAAGTCTAGTTGTGATTGAAAATCGAAGAAGTCGCAACCGGTGGAATTATTCAGCGCGCGGAATCGTTCCTACACCCCTGCAACTAGTTACACAAGCACGATACATTACTAGCCACCCCAGACCGCGTGTCAAACTCACCGCCCGAGCACACCCAGTCAGCAAAGTCGGAAAGCTTAGGTAAATAAGTCGCTGATGCTATCTTTGCGCCGCGTATAGCGTGCATAATCGACACTTGGGATATATTCCATATTTGGCGGTCAAACAGACACTCATCATGCCGTCCATTCTACGAGCGTAGTCATCTGCAGAGATGGCAGAACAAGAACATTTCTCGTTGCGGACTTACGTAGCTTTTTATAACTTGACCACTCTCCACTCACCTAGGTCCATGCGGCTCAACTGACCTCCCAATGGGCCTTGAACTTCGGTGCCATTAGCCCAGAGCTTCCTGCCGGCCCAGTATTCGATGAAACCATCCGGGCCTGAAACAATGATCAGTCGGGACCCGGCTTCCTCTCTGCGACGCCGTATCTTTTGTTCTATTTCGCCGGGCTGAATAAAGGTCTTTTCCTCGTCGACGTAGTAGTTGACAGTCAAGCCTTTTGTGGCGGCTTCGCTCCGCTTCTTGAGCGTGTCCAACTCGGTCACAATGGCACCCTTCTCCGTAGCACTCGGTGGTTCCACGAGCGGTGCTTGCACGGGAGAGCCGAACAGACTCTTCCACCATCCTATTCGATCCTGGCCATACTGATCTTGTCCACTGTCGTCACTGACACCGCCCACGCATTCTTCGCGCTTCCGGTTTGCCCACAATATGTGCATCTTGCTGCCCGTCCGCCGCCCTAGTGCCTGAGCGACTTGCATCGCGGGTGCTATGCCTGTTCCACCTGCTAGAAATATAACCTCTATGATGTCGCGGGGGAGCTTGAGCTCCGTGTTGGGCCCTCGCAGTTCGATGGTCGATTGCTCTGGGAGACGGTGCAGGTAGGTTGAGACCTCGCCGCCCGTCTCCTGGCGTATAAGTAACCTCATACCTCCCAGGTCATCGTCGCCCGTCTTGGTACTATCGGTCGTGCGAGGCAATGGTGTGTATGCGCGGGCAATCTGTAGTTGCGGTTGCTTGATCTGTACGCTCCAAACGCTGCGCTTCGATACCTCCTTGATGCTTTCCGCATCTGAGACGCCATTGCTATTGCGCAGTGTGAAGATGGCACTGGTCGATGAGACGGGCTCCTTGCTTACAAGTGTATACTGCGTGAAGGTGTGGGGGTTCAAGGTCGCATCGGACGCATCGGCGGGTCTGGCGAGACGATATGCTGCACCGCCAAGCGCTGAAGAGCCGAGCACAATCAGTGGGCCTGCTCGTCGCTTCAACCAGGACATTGCTCGGCTAGGGATTGCGCTGACCTGGTGGAGTCGGGTTAAGGTGTTGGGCAGTGTTACAAACTTTGTGTTGATATGGCCCAAGCGTGCTGCCCGCTCAGGTACGTATCTCAAAAGGATCCGGTCTCCGGCAGGCCACCGAAAAATGAAGAGACACCACAAACTACATCTAAACAGCCATCAACGTCGTCTATAAAACACATCCTATACACATGACATCTCCTGCACGGCATTAGTCGTGCGACCAATCTCCAACTTCTTCGAGGGTGGCAACAGTCTGGTTTCAGGTGCGGGTGTAACTGTGGAACAACAAATCGGCATGCGCTACCTTCCCGTTCAGGGAAAAGTGTACCTTCCCGACTCATGCCTCAGCCTCTAGCCTTTTACAGCCAAAGACCCTGCATATCTTCCACCCACACCTGGTGGCGTTTCGTTGGGTCACTATCATTCACCGACTCCTTCTTCACTCTCTCTTCCCGTCCTCAACTCTCAGTCTACAGTGTGTGGCCCAACTAATCGAACAAGTTCCTCGGCGTCTAGCCCCCAAAGGCGGGCCTTTCGGCATCATTTGGTCCTACTTCGGTCATTCTCCGGAGTTATCACGGAATAGCGACTACAGACATATCGACAGTTGTCGGAGTTTTTGAAAACAAGCAACAAAACCACGAGCAACATTCGAACCCAGCACCTGGACATTGGGAATATCTGGAAAACCATCGGGGAGACAAGTCACACTCGGAAGTCTCGTGGTGTCCCGACTGTACACGTGGTACAGAGCCATGGCACCTGCCATTCTGACTCAACGCCCGAGAATCTTATTCCTGGACGCCTACGATTCGTTTTCAAACAACATTGTCGCGATAGTCGAGCAAAACATCGACGCGCATGTCGTCAAGGTCTTTATTGACGATCCAAATCTCACAAAGATAAAAGATGATGAGCAGCACTCGGCATTCACGGATTACCTAAAGAGCTTCGATGGTGTGATTGCCGGACCCGGGCCCGGCTGGGCGAAATGCGAAAAAGACGTCGGTCTGATGAAAGAGCTCTGGAGTCTTCAAGAAGAGCAGATCGTTCCTGTTTTTGGCATCTGTTTGGGGTTCCAGTCTATGTGCCTTGCCTTTGGAGCCGACATTGAACGACTTGAGGAGCCGAAACATGGTATCATAACCACCATTCTGCACAAAGGCCAGTCCATATTTCGGGGCGTAGAGCATCTTTTGGCCACACAATACCACTCCCTTCACGTCAAGCTCGACCACCCCATCCAAAGCAAGCGAGCTGTACGGTACCCTGCCCAGCTCTGGGAACCTACGGAAACTTGCCCCAAACTCGAACCGCTGGCGTGGGATTTCGACAGTGAGCGTAATGGCGCTGTGCTCATGGGCGTCAAGCATACACAAAAACCGTTCTGGGGGGTCCAATTTCATCCAGAGTCAATTTGCACAAACGACGAAGGGAAACGTCTCTTCCAGAATTGGTGGGAAGATGCCCAGGCTTGGAACCGCAAGCGCATGTTCCGCAATGTTCCCAAAAACACTCTCATGCCAAATACGCCAGCTTCCCCGATGACCTTTGCGGATTTTCGACGAGAACTTGGTTTTCACGGTGCCATGAAACAGAGCAAATACTCATCTGCTAGCTTTGCGGCAAATCTCGACAGCGATACCATTACGCCCTTTGAGCTAGCATCGCTGATTGCACATGGCGATGGGCAAACGATACCAGACCTGGCGCCTAGCACTGTACACTGTGCGACTACAGGAAGCGGAAGGCTTACAGTTGCCGATGTCTGTGAACTGTTCGAATTGACAAGAGGGGAAGCATTGGTTCTTGAGTCCGGATTGCAGTCAAACCTGGTACCTATGGCCGTAGGCACCGGCAGATATAGCATTATCGGGTTCGTCATTCCTGAAGAGACCCTCCGCTTGCACTACTATGCCGGATCCCGCAGAATGGAGCTCAGAGATGGCAAGGACCAATTGCATACCGAATGGACAGTAAACGACCCGTGGCCATATGTGCGAGAAGTCATGAAGAGCCTCCAGCCATCTACGCCACCACAAGGGTCGACGTGGGCACCTTTCTGGGGAGGTCTCATGGGTTTTGCGTCGTATGAAGCTGGTCTGGAAACTATTGGCATTCATGGGCATGAGGAAGCCGCTTATCCGGACATTTGCTTTGCGTACATTACCCGAAGCATAGTCTTCGATCATCAGGTCAAGAAGATTTACGTCCAGAGCATCCGTGGAGCCTTTGACCAAGACTGGGTTGAAGAGACGATAGAAAGGCTGTACGACCATGCTGGTGTGAAATCTCGGGAGAGCACGCCAGGGTCGAGTGCTATGGCAGAAGTGGACCCGTTCGAAACACATGGTACGATGGATCAGTACATTGAATCTTGCCGACAATACAAAGCTGGTGAGGGTGAATACTCGGAAAAGGTCCGTAACTGTCAAGAGGCCATAGCAGACGGCCAGAGCTACGAGCTTTGCCTTACCACACGCAACGAGATCCGTGCTCGTAAACCGACTGCCTGCAGAATTTCGCGTTCAGAGGACAACGAACATTCCTGGAACATGTACAAGCGCCTGGCCAGCCAGAACCCCGCTCCATTTAGCGCATACATGAGGATACACAATGTTCATGTCTTGAGCTCATCACCGGAAAGATATATCAGTTGGGACAGGTCGCAAACTGCCCAGTGTCGACCCATCAAAGGCACGGTACAGAAGAAGCCTGGTGTAACTGCTGAGATGGCTCACGAGATTCTTTCTTCGTCCAAGGAACGGGCAGAGAACCTCATGATTGTCGATCTCACTCGACATCAATTGCATGGTGTATACGGCTCAGAGAATGTCCGTGTGAGCCAACTTATGGAAGTCGAGGAATACGAAACACTGTGGCAGCTAGTCTCTGTAGTTGACGCAGTACCTAGTGGCTCTAATAAGCCAACCACACCCGACGATTGGGAAGAACCTGTAGACTTTGCCTTCAAAAAGCCGACCAAGCATTCCGTACCCTACCTAGGTTTCGAGGCCTTTGTTGAGAGTCTTCCTGCAGGAAGTATGACCGGTGCACCCAAGAAACGGTCGTGCGAGATTCTACAGGATGTAGAAAAGGGCGAGAGAAGAGGCCTGTACTCTGGCGTTCTCGGCTATCTTGACGTTGGAGGCGGCGGCGACTTTAGTGTAGTCATACGGACTGCTATCAAAATCGACAATGACGAACTCCAAAATGACGACAAGGAAGACGTCTGGCGTCTCGGTGCTGGAGGTGCGGTCACAAGCCAGAGCACACCACAAGGCGAATACGAAGAGATGATTGCCAAGTTTGGCAGCACCAGCAGGGCATTTGCGCCTCTCCCGCCACCAAAGTCGAGGACCAAAGGCAGGAGAGTTGAGATTATCGAACCTGATGACCCTGCATTTGCGGAGTTGCTTGCAAGCATGAGGGGAGGAGAAGAGCTGACGCTGGACGACGCTCAGATCATGTTGCGAGCTGTGGAGCGTGAACTAAGGAGGAGGACTGGCGAAGATTTAGGCAATGACACCACAGAGGTGGAATGAATGTTTTAAGGGAGTTGGGATAGTGCGGGAGTCGCTGAGCTTAACCTTTGATACCATCACTTATACTAGAGATAGACCTTTCTGGTTTCAACACCAATACAATTCATATTAGAGCTGTTCGAATACCCATCAGATATCGTGTTTCATTGGCTATTGCCTTTTTCGTGACTACGTTGAAATGGGGTATTACTTGAAAGCGTGATGACTAAGCACGAATAGTGGGAACGTAGCATTCGCCGTGTAATCTTGCGCACCACATCGCAACCCATACACGCGTTCCGAGAAATAGCAGCAATGGCGACAGATGCGCCAGATCCACGGAGTTTTCAAACCTGGGAAGACGCGTTCCAGTATCCAATTCCGGTGGTTCGCAAACTTGAACAGCAGCTGCGCAACAATGCTGATGAGAATCGTGAGAAGCTGCGGTCGCTCGTGGGGTATGGATATTTGGACACAAGGAGAATGCAATTGAGAGCAATCAATGCTAACTGTATGCAGAGCAAGTTACCGCAGCCTCCTCGATACTGCCGAAACGATCATCGATATGGAAGTACGAATGGGCCAAGTAGAGACCAAGCTTTCAAAAGTAGGCCAGAGTTGCAACTCGAGGCGCTTGGAGAAGATATCAAATAATACGGGGAACATGGATTTTCACATACGGAGTCGTGGTCAGTCTCTCGCATTGCATTGGAAGGGACCATTGGGTTGACAGAGGACAGATGCGGAGCGGTACATGCTGGCGTCCCAACTCTCGGTCCTGCGCAATGCGCCTCTGGTGATGACACGCCTTATGAAAAGAGAGGGATCATATCTGCTCATTGCCAAGATCCTGGTCATTTCACGACTACTTCACAAGGCCCTCAGCCAATCTGCGACGAAGCCCGCGATTGTGGACCAGCTGTGGGAGAGGCTGTTGTCTGTACGAAGGAAGCTGCTGCGAAGAATCGATAAGCGACTATCGAGTGCAGTCGGTGAAACAGCAACTCTAGTGGAGAGTATGTGTGCCTATGCGCTTGCTACAAGCTCGACACCAACCGATACCCTGCATCATTTCCATAAGATGAGGTTGGATAGGATGAATAGCGAGATCAAGGCGGGTGGGAATGAGCTTGCGAGGCACGGTATTGATGCGCTCAAGCTATGCATTCAGACATGTCTCGATACCCAGACGATATTTCCGCGGAGGTTGGCAGAAGCATTGGCAAAACTGAAGGCGCATCCTTTGATTCAGGATCCTGATGTCCGCGGCCTATATGAGCTGAATCTAGATGTGCACGACCAGTGGCTTGGCGACGAGGCGCGCAACTACACGCCCTGGCCACGGCATGATGAGTTGCAGCGACCAGAAGCAGAGCGGATACTACATCGCTGGTCTAGGGATGCCATTGCGGCTTTCCTAAAGGGCGTCAAGAAGGCACTAGAAGGTGAAGAACGATTGCAAGAGGTTGCGGACTTGCGGCAAGAATTGATTGAAACATGGATTCTTTCTGGATCTCGTATGGCGGGCGTCAAGTCGGCAAACATACTCGACGATTTGCGCGACATGATGAACGACAAGCTTGAAAGCATCGTCCGGTCACGAACAGATGGACTGCAGACTGTTGTTTCAGAACTTACGGCTCAGCTAGATACAGTGGCTGCATCCGAAGCAACCTCGGCGCTCAGTCTCTGGGATACAATCGACAAGGCCTCGGACCTCTCTAACGGCGCTCAATCATTCAAATCTACAGTCCTGAACACATACCAAGGCCGAGACGACCCAGTCATCAGCGTCACATCCGCCTTTGACAACTGGATGGCATCAGTCCTCGAAGTCAAAGGCATAGTGAAGAGCATGAAGGAAGCCCGCTGGGACGACACCTTTGCCGACGACGCAGGCTCAGACTCCGACTCCGACCTTGGTGACTCGAAGCAAACCCTCCTCAGCGACGACGATCCCAAGTTGCTGGAAGAATGCACACAAGAAGCCCTACGCGAAGCACTGCAGAATCTCGGCAAAAGCCTATCTACCATCACCAAGTCCTCTGAGAAGACAGAGGGCACCGATTCCATCCAAAAAGCAACCTTCATCCTGCGCGTCATCAGGGAAATAGGCGATCGCATCCCGCGACTTAGACTTCAAGACAAAGCCACACCCCCCACCTCCCCATTTACCCCAAACATCCTTGAACCCCTCCACGCAGCTCTAGCATTGCACGTCGCACAACCAACGCTAGAAGCATACAAGACCTCGCTAGCCAAGTCCCTGAAGATCAAATCAAACAGCCATATTTTGTGGGAGGGCCAGCCACCACTGCCTACCCAGCCGTCACCCAGTGCATTCCGCTTTTTGAGGGATTTGAATACTAAGATGACGGGTGTGGGGAGTGATCTTTGGGCTCCCGGAAGTGTGGGTGTGATGAAGGGGAAGGTGGCGGGAATGTTGGTGGGGGTTGTGGAGGGGCAGGTTGATGCTATTTTTGCGCTTGGCCAAGGTCCTATCAATGGTGATGAGGAGGAGGAAGAAGAAGAGAAAGATGAGAGAGGGGAGGAAAAGACGGATGTGGAGGAGTCTGGTCCTACGAAGGAAGAAGAGACGGAGATCAAGGTCTACAGACTTAAGCAGTTGCTCTTCGATGTGCTGTATGTACAACGGTTTATTGAACCGACTGCAGGAGAAGAAAGTATTGCGAAGTTGAGGAAGAAGATGGAGCTGGAAGATGTGGATGTGGGTAGGTTGAAGAAGAGTGCGGTGGAATATGCTAAGAAGACGTATTTGTTGTTTGCACAGACATATTAACGTGGTTCACAAGCGAGCTGATCACCCAAGCGAGCTGATCACTTCCCACCAGCGCGTCAACGTCGATACTACAACGCGTTATGTCTCAACAACGTCAACATCTATTAACTTATCCTGAATCAGATCTTCAACTTGCTCTTTTTGATATC